TCTTTTCTTGTAAATACGTGAGCTAGTCTTCTATCACCTACTGTAAGAACTCAAGATAAGTCTTTATTTTTCACAACTTCACTAAACTCTACCACTGCTAAAGCTCTGCTACCCTTTTGTTTGATATATATGTCTTCTATATCATCTAATTTTTTGCATATATATCTAACTTCTTTTGAGTTTATATCTTTTGGCAGATTCCAAATTGTAATACAATCTATATTTATATGTCTATTATGATTGTATTTTCTTGATACCTCTGAGTTTATGTTGTGATATTCTTTATTTTGATATAAGCTTTCATTGACCTCCTGGATGCATCTTTTCTTATTAATGTCTTTAGTCTTGTAGTTAGAGTTTTGCTTAACTCTAGATCTATTTACTTGGTTTTTTGCTTTATGTTTTAGATTTCTTGATTTGTCGTTAGTTACTAGAATTAAATGAAGCCAATTTCCTTCTTTCTTGTATATTTTTTTGATTGCTTCTTCTCTGCTATATTCATAATCGAATTCTATCTCTATCCAGCTATTTTTATTTGTGAAAACTTTCTATACTGACTTTATATGCTTTTTTTGTTTAATATTTCTTCTATATTTATGGTTCTCTCTTCAGAAGAGTCCCCTAGTACCTTAAAAGTTGGAGCTTTTGCACGAAATGATCTGTTTCCTTCACTTACTCTGTTATTTGGTGACCAGATGTTTTGTTTGATTGAGTCTCTGATATAGCAAGTTTATTATCTTCTTCCTGCTTTGTTTTTATTTGTTGAGTTTCAGATTTGATATTTTCTATTATATCTTGTATGATTCTGTCTATAGGAGCTTCTTTATCTTTTTTGACCTTTTTGCCTTTGGAATTTTTTTCGACAGAAACTTTTCTTAATCCTTCTCTTGAGGCTAGATTAATTTTTATTGTTTTTTCATTTTTAGTACTTATATTCATATTCTCTACTTGGTGTGAGATAGGGCTTCTAGATTCGGGTTTGGTTCAATTCGGGTTCGATCAAACCCAAACTCAAACCCGAACTCAAACTTAAAATTTTGCAGATCTTCAAACCCGAACCAAACTTAAACTCACAATATTCAAACCCAAACCAGACTCAAACATTACCTAAGTTTTGTTCGGGTTCAGTCTGAAAGTTTACAAACAAGTTCGGGTTCGAGATATAGCAACTAAGTTTTTCTACTAGCAACACAGATATCAATGACGAGCTTACCTCTTGCAATGCCAATACCAATGATGAAATCTACCATCAGCAATAGCGACACCAATGGTGAAATTCCAAGGTAACACCAATAATAAAATTTTACCATCAGCAATAATAACACCAATAACAACATCAATGGCAAAATCTAAGGGCAATACGATACAAACCATATCTGGAAGGGCTACATGAATGACACAAACTACCTGAAAGAGCTATATGAATAACACAAACCACTTGAAAGAGTTGTACAAATAACACAGCTTACTACCTGCAAAGAGCCATACAAGACTACACAACAAACGCAAACTACCCAAATGATGCTCGTCTAGAAAACAGAATAAGGTATTAGCTGTATATAAAACAAAAAAACAAACAAAAAAATAAAAAAAATACTTAGCATTAAGTGATTATCGATGATTAGGTAAAACTATATCTATATCTAATATAGTGAATTAAATTAAAAAATAAAATAAAATAAAAAATTAAAAGAAATTTTATTTTAACTTGGATTAAAGTATTATATACTATACTATATTTAATAGCTTGGATAACTTTAATCTGAGTCAAAATAATTTTTTTTTTATTTTAATTCGGATTAAAGTCATCTAAGCTATTAAATATAATATAGTATATAATACTTTAATCTGAGTCAAAATAAAATTTCTTTTAATTTTTTTATTATTTTTTTTTTAAACTATTATATACTATACTATATTTAATAGCTTGAATAACTTTAATCTTAGTTAAAATAAAATTTCTTTTATTTTGACTCAGATTAAAGTCATCCAAGCTATTAAATATAGTATAATATATAATACTTTA